GTGCAGATTTTGAACCACCATTCCTTAAAGTTGTCTGCTAAGTCTGAAATGCCATGCCACCTGACAGGAGAAATGTCCCATACCTTTGAGGCTCTGGGGCAACTTAAAAGAACATGAGTGATTGTCTCTGAAGTTTCACCACAAACTGGGCATATGTGATCAATGTCAATTCTTTTTCTTCTCAGCAAGCTTGCCACAGGAAGGGTTCCTGACAAGCATTTCCACAGAAAGTGCTTCAATTTCCCAGCAACTTTCATTTTCCAAAGTTTGAATTGCACTGATTTGCAGATTGAAGAGTTGGCACTGGATTCTGGGATGTCAAGTTGAGCAATCTTGATTTTTGAGAGATGCTTGTATGTTCTTGCTACAGAGAATTTACCTTTCCCATCTAAACCCCAAAAAATTTTGTCTGACCTCCCAGGATGAAGAGATGTTATTTTAAGAATAGCTTCACTATATGTTTGATCAAAAACCTGTTTCACAAGCCAGTCATCCAAGCATAGCCATTAGGTTGCAGAAGGTCTTTGACCCATATAAGGTGATCCCTAGAAATAGGGATAAGAGAAGGAGCAGTTTTCTGCAAATTGGGAACCCAGTTGAAGTCATCAATCTTGGTTGTAGTTCCATCTCTGATTTCAATTTTCAACCATTTGGAGAAGAAAGGGATCATCTCCATCCAACAATTCCACATCCATGACCCATTAGATGTTTTAGAAGCATGAGTGATTGCAGTATGAGGAAAAAACCTGTCTTTCAAAACTCTACTGACCAAAAGATCAGGCTGAGATGCCACCCTCCATAACTGCTTGCAAATTAGAGCTTTGTTGAACGCTTGCAGATCTAAAAAACCCAAACCACCTTCATTCTTTGATAAAGCAAGTAGGCTCCACTTCTTCCAGTGTATTCCTTTAGTTTGTTGGTCTCCATTTTGCCACCAGAAATTAGCACAGAGCTGAGAGATTTCAGAACAGATAGTGATAGGAAGCTTAAAGCAAGACATAGTAAAGATTGGTAAGGCCTGAATGATTGCTTTTAGCAGGACTTCCTTCCCAGCTGTACTCAAGAGTTTGGATGTCCAATTTTGAAGTTTATTTCTAACTGAATTCAGCAAATACTCAAACACCTCCTTTTTAGATTTCCCAATGCCAAGTGGTAAGCCAAGGTACCTTGTTGATCTATGAGAAGTAATACCATTGAGAGCTGAGCAAATTATAGCTTGAAGAGGTTGTGGAGTGTTTCTACTGAAGAAAATGGCTGATTTGTTCAAGTTGACAGCTTGTCCTGTGAATAATCTGTATTTCTCTAGGACTGTCATTAGTACTGCTGCTTGATCAACACTTGCTCTGCAGAAGAAGATTGAGTCATCTGCAAACAACAGATGAGTGAGTAGAGGACCATTTATGGAAAGTTTGAGGCCTTTGAGTTGTCCTGTGTCCACTGCTTGCAAAATCAGTGCTGTGAGAGCTTCTGCCACTATTAAAAACAGATAAGGGGACAGAGGGTCCCCTTGCCTAATACCTCTGCCAGGCTTAACATAACCACTTACACTGCCATTGATTTTAAAAGAAAAGGAAGCAGTGGAGATGCATATTAAGATCAGCTTTACAAAAACTCTGTGGAAGCCCATTTAAAGCATAATTTTCTGCACACTAAGCCATTCAACTCTATCAAATGCTTTGATTAGATCAAGCTTGAGAGCCATGAATGAGTTTGGACCTGAAGAGTGCCTATTCAAGAAATGAAATGATTCCTCTGCTATTATTACATTGTCTATCAGTTGCCTTCCCTCTATAAAAGCAGATTGATGGTTGCTAATGCAATGTGGTAAACAAACTTTCAGTCTCAGAGCCAACACCTTGGAGATGACTTTATAAATCACAGTGCATAAACTTATTGGTGTGAATTGACTAACACTCTCTGGATTTTGGCACTTAGGAATCAGGGAAAGAATGGTATGGTTCCAGTATTTAAGGATCATACCTGTTTGAAAGAAGCTCAGGATGGCTGCCAAAAAATCATGTTTGATCAGCTCCCAGAAATGCTTATAGAACACTTAGCTCATCCCTTCCTCTCCTGGAGCCTTATCAGAAGGCATTTGGAATAAATCTGACTTGACTTCATTCCTCTGTGACTGGTTTCAGGAGGGCTTCATTCATTTCTGAGGTGATGGATTGGGGAATTAATTGCAGAATAGAGTCACCTCCCAGGCTGCCCTCAGAAGAGAATAAGTTGGAATAAAAGTCAGCAATATGAGTCTCTATATCTTTTTGAGAGGTCAGGATCCTCCCATTTGAAGAAATCAGTCTGGTGATTGCATTTTGTTTTCTCCTTTGAAGAGTGAAAGCATGAAAAAATCTGGTATTGGCATCCCCTTCTTTAAGCCATTTCTGTCTGGATTTCAGTTGCCAATACAGTTCTTCCTGAAGATGTGCTTTGTTCAGTGAATCTTTTGTGCTCATCCAGCTGTTCCAGTTGCTTCAAGATTTGTCTTCATTCAGAGTTTCCATTTGAAGAGTAAGTTCTGCTATAAGGGCCTGATTTTGAGATTGGAATGAGGAACTCCATTTTAGAAGGGCAATTCTAGTGAGTTTGATTTTTTCCTTGAGCCTGAAGAAAGGAGTTCCTGTGACCGGAGTATTCTAAGCTAACTGGACAGTCTCATCAAATCCATCCTTACCAATCCATCTTTTATCAAAATTGAATCTGGCTTGTTTCTTATCTGAGGGCAGACCTAAGTTCAGGACAAGTGCAGAGTGATCTGAGGAACTTCTCATCACATTAATCACTGAGGCATTAGGATAAGTCTGGTGCCAATCCAGAGTGCCAAATCCTCTATCCAGCTGTTCTTCTATCATTTCATCAGAGGCTCTCTGATTACACCATGTAAATGGATAACCACTCAGTCTAATTTCCTCCATATCCATGTTGTCAATAAAGGAATTAAAAGGCTGAAGACTGGCTGGACTTCTTGGATTTCCACCTTGCTTTTCTGAAGTCTTGCAGATATCATTCCAGTCCCCCATTGCAAACCAACAATCTCCCCAAGCTTGTCTTTCAAGAATTAATTCATCCCATTGAGTTTCTCTGCTAGTCCTACAAGGACTTAGATATACAAAAACACCCCACAGGGGGCTACAAGAAGGTAAAGAAAAATGGACAGCAATAAAGAAGTCTTTACAAATGATTTGCTGAATGGAAACATCAGAATCCCAAAATAAAGATAAACCACCCCTTAAACCAGTGGGGCTCACAATACAATTTCTATCTGCATAACCAAGCTTAGTACCAATAGATTTAACAAAGGAATTTGGTTTTTTAGTCTCAGAGAGAAAGAGAAAATGTGGGTGGTGAGTTTTTTTAAGTCTCGCAATTGGAAAATTGTAGAGGGCCCACCCAGCCCTCTACAATTCCACACCACAGCTAGCATTTATCCTGTGGGTGCCATACAAGGCTGGAAGCCCCCACCTTTTCTTTGTGCTCTTGTTGTTTCTGCTTCTTTGGTGCTGTTTGACTTAGGATGATCTGTTGATGAGAGTTTGATTGATCTTCTTCTGTAGTCCTAAGCCTTTTTTTCAGAGGATCTTGTTCAGTGACAATGGAAATAGCAGACTCTCTCAGCAGTCTGCCTGCTTTGCTCCTATCCCTTCTCCAAGTCTTCAGAGGATGAGAAGAGTTGGTAACTACTGTATCACTAATTGAAAGAACTGCTTCTGGAGTATAGGGAAGAGGGTCCAACTCCATTATTTTGCTTTATTCTACTATTTGAAGATTGGATTCAACTGATGTGCCTTTGGCCTCAGGAGTATGAGAGGCTGAAGCTACTGAGTCCTGATCTTTCTCTATGTTCCTGGTTGGTGTTGTTTTTGGGGCAGGGATTATCTGTTGACTGGTTTCAGCTTGCTGAGATGATGTTTTTGGAGGAGATCTGTTCTCATTCCTTGTGGGGGAATCGGTGAATGGAGAACCTCTGGAACTTGAATTTGCATTGTCAAACCATTTCTGGTTTTCTGCTGCTTTCAGAAAATCTCCATATTGACCTTCTTTAAGAGAGTTGCTATTGATGCCTGAAATCCTCTTTGAACAACTTCTATCCAAATGCCCAACCATACCACAATAGTGACACAGATTTTGAAGCTTTTCATATTTAAATCCTACCTGAGCTGTTTGGTCTTCCAGTCTGATGTTTGCAACTCTAGGCAAAGGCTCATTCAGGTTAACTGTGACCAGCAATCTAAGATATTTGCCACCGTGATTCCCAGCATTAGCTAAAACAACGTTCCAAACATTCTTGAAAACTTTTCCTATTTTTAGTCCCACCTCAGTGCTCAGCCAGATGATGGGTGTGTTTGTAACTTGAACCCAAATATTGAGATCTTGGAAACAAGAATGCTTACTTGATATACCATGTTGCCATTCCTTAAGAATGAGATACTGGTTTTCGAAGCTCCAGTTGATGCCATTTGCTACTTTATGTTTATCTTCTCTACTTTGGAATATGAACTGGAAATAATTCGGACTCAATTCCTTGATTTCCATTGATTGATTGAGTCACCAAATGGTAGTCATAGTACGCTTAACTCCAATCCAGTTCGCAGCCCTATCGCCAATTATTTTCCCAAAGAGGCTTCTACTGCATTCCTCCGCACTCATTTTGATATCTGTTTGGGCAATATCAATGAAGTTCGCTTCCTTTTCTGATAGGGAAAAATCCCTCAATTGATCTGAAAGATCTTCTTCCTGAGTGTCTGACATAACTACGCAACCCTAGCTTCTCAAAACATAGACAAGAAACAGATGGAAAGAAAAATTGAAAGAGGAGGGAACGATTGAGAAGAGGACGAACAATGAGCAACTGAGAATTGGATCAATGATCCACCGAAAGAGGAAACAAATCGAAGAATCACTACGCTTCCACCTGAGAAAATCCCCTAACGCTCCCACCTGAGAGAATTTGATTTGCTTATCTCTTTATTTCTTCACTAAGCTAGCTGTGTTTTTAATATTTTAACCATTCATGTTTAAGGTTCTTTTAAACAACATAAAAAAACTATAACAATTTTAGTGAATATTATTTAGCTAATCAAGTATAATCGATATTAAAATGATAAACTAACAACTCATTGTCCAACTGCCGTATAAATTATCATATTGTAAATATATCAATTTTAGATTTCTTTTTAACTTTCAGCGGCACCAGTTTCTTCTGATTTTGGGGTTCTATTTAACAGTCACTGTCAGTCTTTTTGTATAAAGAAAAATATAGAAATATTAGTGAATATTGTTTAACTAATAAAGTATAATCGATGTTAATATGATATGCTTGGATATAAAATTTTTTGGATTTGTTTGTATTTTTTGGTTTGGTTTGGTTAATTTTGAAAAAGTGATTTGGTTAGTTGATAGTTTGTATATTGAAATAATATTTAAAATAAAATAATTAAAGGTGATTTGGTTTAAAAGTAGGAGAGAGATGATTTGAAGTGATTGTTAGTTAAAATTATGCGAGTGGATGAATAGTGAATTAATGTTGATGTAGTATGTAAGAATAACTGATTGATATTATTTAGTTATATTGATAATATTGAAGGTAGTGGAGTTGCGTTAAATCTGATTAGATTCTTTTGTATAGATTTGTATCCAAGCATCCTCTAAAACAACAGCTCTTTTGTCTGATTGCCTAAGTAAATTATCATATTATAAAAAGATCCGTCTTAGGATTCAATTCAAGTTCCAGAGCACCAGTTACTTCTAATATTTGGGTTCAATTTAAAATCAGGGTCAGTCTTTATGTGTGTTGGCATAATATTAAAGAAATCGGTTCTTAGCCCCGATCAATTATATGTTGTTGTTGTGTAAGTATTAGATAAGAGTTGTGCATTAATGACATGTTCTTAAAAATATCTGTTTTTTATCACGACCAATTGTGTGTTGTTGTTACGCATGTAAGTAATAGATAAAGAAAAGTTAGTTCCAGAAAATAATTTTTAGTTTCAGACATTTATGTTGTTTGTTTCGTGTGTAAGTAATAGAAAAAAGGTTGAAAATATTAATTTGTGGGGACACGAGTTGCTCAGTTATTAAACAAATAATGTTGTGTACAATAAAGTTTTAAATAATATATTTTTTGCATGAGGAACAATTTATAGTTTGACAATTTCCCTACGAATTATCACTTTTTATTTATTAATACATTTTAATTTTTAATATTCCCCAAAATAAATACAGCCCGTGCATCGCATGGGTTCCATACTAGTTCCATCTAACGGCAACGCATTGAAACCAAAGGAAAGAGAAGAAACTACAAAGGTATATATTTTTAGAGTATCCTTATCCCTAATCCGACCTAATCTAACTCAACCTAACAATTAAAAATCATTTTTTTCTTTGAGCAAAAAAACAAAAAAAAAGATTATTTCTCTCCTCCACCTACACAACTCAACCTTACAATTTAATTTATCTTTATCCCAAACCTAACTCAATCTAAATATTTATTTTATTTTAATTTATTTAAAAATTTTAATTTTATTTCAAAATATATCAAGCGTGGTCTCTATTTGTAAAAAATTTAAAAAATATGAAATTTAGTATTTTTTATTATATTTTTTAACTAAAAAATTACATTTACTCGATAAAAATGGGACAAATATCTCATATACACATACAAGAAGGTCGCGACCCAAGGTTACAAGTTGACCTAGGTCTTTGAAAGTGGGCGACGTTCTCCATGATTTTTCTTTTTTTTTTTAATGACGTGACCCATCCACGGGGTCACGGATAAAAGTGGTCTTAGGGTCATTTTTGTTGCACTTTTTGATTGGTCTTGATAAATTCATATGTTAATTATTAACTTGTCTATTAACTATATTCATTCATTTTTTTTTCAAACGGTAATTATATTAATAACTTAAAAACTCAAAAGACTACAACCGAAGTGTCAAATGACACTCTGGAACCAGAAGGCTGGACCAATCTCCCTTGTTATCACACAGAAGGGGGTACAAACTCCATAAAATGAGGCAAACAACCACAAAACGAAACTCCAAAAAAGAGACAATAACTCTATATAGGAGAGAAAAGCAGACACGCAGCTGCACTAAAAGCAGACAAAGTTGCACTAAAAGCAGACACAGCTTCACTAAACGAACCAAAACACCAAAATAAAGACAAAATGCAACTCACACCTAATAGATAAAAAAATAAGATAAGACCTCCCCTAACGTATCGGGCAACCGAACACACTCGCAAACCTACAACCGGAACACACTCCACAACAAAGAAACCAACCAAGCAACAAATTTAGACTCCAGACCCAAAAGTTGCGGTCAAAATCGAACCACCTAGATGGATCTGACAAGGAGTCGAGCCTCAATCTACATCTGAGCTTTGAAGGACTTCAACACCGGGGGGAGGGAGCCATCACGAAACGTCGAAGGGATCCAAGACGAAATTCAAGGAGAGATCGCCTCAGGCTACCAGAAACCGAGCGTCCGCCCCTCCCTGGATGCAGAACTGAAGGCCCGAGACCAAAGCTCCAGCGAACTGGGAGGCTCCTGAGACTGGAAGGAAAACAAGGCTAGTCGGCGACCACCTCAGGAGCCGGGGAGAGATCAGCATACTCTGGTCTGAACTCCTGCAAGACTCCGGTAGGAGCAAAGAATAGTCCTCCAACCTGGAATCGACAAGGATCAACAAAAATACTGACGCGAAGCCGGAGGAGGAGAACGTGGCCGGACGATGGCCCCACTCTGGGCGAGCACGACACGGCGGTGCTGCAACCCTCACAGAATGACAGAGTAGGGCAGGGAGCACTCCTCTAGCCTCGGCCAAGGCCTAGCCGGGCAGGCTTGGCCGCCGGAAGGAGAAGGGGGGCGGCAAATCTAGATCTGATTTTTTTTCCGCTACAGTTAATTTTGGAGAGAGGAAGGAGAAGTGTTTCCCTTCTCAAAGACTTTTGCTTATTTATTTAATTTAATATGGAAAATTTTTATCCCTCCTACATGTTTGTAAAAAAATTACAACTCTACCACATACATACAATTAATTGCAACTTTGCCGAAAAGATAATATTTATCTACATTAATGCATAATGACAGTTACCATTTAATTCGAACCACTCTCCACGTGCATTTAATTTGTCTGATTCAGTTATCATATCAATTTAATTTTCTCTCCTTATCTTTCCCATGATTTGCGTCCATTTGCTAAAAAAAGATTTTGTATATATTCAGTATACTGAATATATATTAAATATAGACTAACATAAACGCAACATATACCATCATATACGCACCTAATGATGGTATATGCTTTGTACATATTTTTCATGATTTTACTAAATATTAACCATACATATACCGAAAATATACTGAATATAAACGATACTTATAACAGGGAGAACGATACAAACACGATACAATATGAGGGGGAATAAAATATACCGAAAATATATTGAATACAAGCCATACAAAGGTAGGAAAAAAATTCACACACACAAAACACCAAATGTAGATGAAAACATTGATCAAGGAGTAGAATAAAAAAAAAGTTTTTGTCGCAACCTTATCATTTCGCACCTCTGTTCTTTTTCAATATCAACCAATCAAGGTCTATGCACGGGATAAAATTCGAACAGTTTCCAACCCTCGTTCGAATTTACAGAGGCCGTTCTCTTTTGTTTCAAGCAAGCAGTAGTCATCCCCTCGTCCCT